CGCCGCAAACTGCTGACGACGGTCAGCTCATCAGCAATGAGACAGACTTAATTCAGGAAGTCAAGCTTGCTTATACGCAAGGGCTGATTCGGGGTGTAAATTGTAGACTGAGTCACGTCGTGGTCATGATTCTTCCATCAGAGGTTGTTTGCCATACAGTGATGGGGCTTTACAAATCTATACATAAGGGCCTTACGCCGGACAGAGAGCAAAAGAAGCACTTGGAAACTGTTTTGTAAGCGCTTTCTACCCTTCCGATCGCCAATTCTCAGAAGTACTGCCTATGCTTAAAGCGGCAACATTTAAGCAAATCCATTCCCTCTATAACGATTGCGCCGTGGATACAATCATCTCTCTACGCCGAGCTAACCTTTGCTCTAGAGCAGCGATACGATATCAGACAGCTAAAATTAACCCAAATGCCTTATTTCAGTGAGTGCATCCGGATATCGGTACATCTTCGTTTTGAATATAAAGCAAAGAATCTCGTAGAGAGCCAACGTGCCATTCCAGCCATTAATAGACACGGGAGCCAATTACAGAAACATCGGTTTCGGATTAGCAGGATTGATCCAATTCCGTGAGAAGCCGGGTTCACCATAGCTATTACTAGTATCTGGTAAAGTGAAAGGAATTTGCTCACGTTTTGAGCTTATGAGAACTCGATATCCCACTTTCGCAAACTTTTGCCTGGTGTTGTCAGCGACTTCGCTCATCCTCAAAATTTCGTTCTCGGGGGAGAGACAGGATCGCTTGGCAACCGCTGTTTCCACTAACGAGGGTACTGCCTTGTCAGTAGCTGCGCCAGCTGATTAATGTAGATCAGCGATGCTTTTGATAGCAATGACCCGTGGTGATGAGCGCTCACATCGACGTCTACGCCGTGCTATGTTTTTCGCAACTTGCTCATAAACGCCACTCATATAGACTCTGCGTTCCTTTGGCTGTCTTGTACAGTTGTAGATAGGTGAGGCAACGCATCAACATATCCCGACGCGCGAATTGAGTACGATACTCCTTGGCACGTTTTCTTGAGCATACAACAAACACAGAATATTCGTTTTCTCTTTGAAGTCCTATGAGTGCTAATAAACCCATAGCTAACTACGTCCGTGGGCGACTTGATGTAGCCTGTAGCAATTTGTCTGATAGAGTGCGGACACTTGTAGAGTAGGTAGGTTTACAGCGTAAGAAAATCCTTTTTACAGACGAAAAATTATGTGCATTCTGTTTGCTGCTATCACCAGTATACTGTTTTTGCACATTCTGGTGCTCGATTATTGCGTCATGCCGACGCATGACACTCAATCCAGTCAATATAACTGTTTGGTTTTGCTACGAAGTTTAGCCCGGCTGACATCACGAGGTCGAATAGTATCGACAGCCCCTTTTCTATTTAGACCACACCACCTTTGTGTTCGTGTCGAACGTACATGATGGGAAACTACATTTTTTAGATTTAGGAAGTGGAGCCTACAGAGACATGTACAGTATTACAGTACTGTGTGAAACATTTCGCTCCAGACCCACGACCATTCCTCGCAAGTGCTCTGGAGAATATACCACTTGAGAAGCGCATAATGTCTAGCTATCGGTCTTTAGATGCTCATCGATTTACATGCCCTATCTGGTGACTAGCACCCTGGTCGAAGTCCGCAAATCTAGCTGAAAGCACATGATATGCTCTGAAACAATGGTCACCGGCTAGCTGTGGTGGCAAAATGTGTTGTCGATAAACATCTTGGTGAAGTAATGGTGTAGCTGACCGCAGTCATTTAGGTCAGCTAGGTAAACTTGCTCAAGCAGTTCACAGAGACCACAATATCAGTATGTACGGTTGCGGATTTTGGAGGATAAGCAAAGAGCTACGGCAGCCCCACTGCATTTGGCGGCACTCGGAGTCAATCCACGCCTAAGTCGTTACGACTGATCCTCTGTGAGGATAGATTACTTCTCCTATTTGCCTCAGGGCATGCAGGACGGACTTAATAAGCTGATGACTTTGCTTGGACCTGAGAACGTGCAACACCTTGCTTCGCAAGGCCATGTGGTGATAAGCGAGCACCTAAAGGCGATTTAAATTATGGAAATGCTCTGTTACAGCACCTACAGCAGAAGCTGTCAGCACCGACTGCGTCCATGACGCCACCGTCGACGACGGATGATTCCTCCCGGCCTAGGCCGCTCATGGTGAGCGTTAAGACCTTCAAAGGTAAGGATGGCTAGAAATTCATGCCGTGAATGAAAGAGGACGAAATGGCTATGACATCCGCCGTGTTCCATAACGATCAATAGCACTTGTCGCTAGCTATCCCCAAGCTCGTGATTTCAGCGCGAGAATGGGCACTAACGTGTGGTGCTTTGGTTGAATCAGCGTTCCCCTCCCGGAAGGAGATAAGTTGCAGCTTTTGCTAGTGTTCTCGCCGCCTAATCAGGCATATCGCGTTCGATCGCGCATCCTTGCCGCTCGACAGCGCAAGAAGAAGTTGATGGACTTTATCCAAGAGTTGAGAACTACTCTTCTTTCCGAGACAGTCGCAGTGACAGTCTTTATGGAGGTCTCCACACTAGTGTGGCCAGAATGGAAGTATCTCGTATGCATCCGTCTTATTTTGAAGAAGCAGTAAACGTGGCATTGAATGCCAAATTCAAATTTAAAACTTGGTTTGGATGCAGACCCTCAGAGCTCGTCGAGCAGACCTAAGTTAATGGATCTAGGCTATGCTAAGAAGAAGAGGGAGAGATCCAAACCGTCCGACAGCATCTGAACACCCGACGGAGTTTCGTCTGTAGAGACAGCCGTCATCTTCGAACTGGTTGTCCCTTGCACAAGGCGCGTCAAAGTTCATCTAACCGAAGTCCCGCTTCTAACCAGTCTGGTTCGTCGCTGGGAAACGACACCACACAGTAGGCGCGGACGCCCTACTGGGACGGATTTAAGTTTTGTTGAGCATCAAAGAGGTAGAGGGCAGCAGGGCCCAGCCCCGAAGATTTCCGTGCACTTGAACACGGTACGTGTATGCAAGCCGGGATTGCTAGTCGTGAAGCGACCGTGGAGGACTTTGATGAAATATGGAAGATTCTTATCAATTCTGGGGCGTCGGGCAATTATCTCGACTCTTCCAATCGATGGAAGTTAGCTGTACGCTGAGGCGCTGAAAACGCAGTTGAGTGATACCGTCACTATTCGCTTAGCGACGGGGACTTGTATCACTGTGTCAAGGGACCCTGTTGACCTTGGTGACAAGCTCCTTGACTTTGATAGCGTGGAACGCTATCTAATCTTAGACTCGGATACAAGATATGACCTTATCCTTGATATGGCATGGTTGAGATACAATGAGCCAGGTATCGATTGGAGGTCGAAGACCTTGGGCGCTACACGCACGTCTCCTGGAGAAGCTTTGGTGAGTCATGAACCCACGCCTGCTAGGAAGCAGAAGCGCTATTGGCGTGGGCGCTGGTCCGGGGCGGTCAATGTGCTGGATATCGGAGTATCCAATTTGTCGAACACCTAAAATATATTGGATACGAGCCCCCAGCATGGCTCGTGGGTAGAACGTGGAGTGGCACGTAATCAACTGTGCACTATTCAAGTATCAAGCAGTTGCTACATACCAAGGGTGGCATGGTCGGACAAGGTCCAAGGCATTGAGGGCGAGGCTCTTGTGATGATCGTGGAGTGGTAAGAAATCCACTGAGCACTGCTCATATCCGCCGCTGGTAGCCGTGTTTCACGAGTCCATCCTGTGCACTGGGTGAGTCGGCGGTAAATCATGCACAGCGCCTGAATCCGGAGATGGCGGCGCCTGCTGTGTTGGTAACGAACAAGAACAGTTAAAACTAATACACTGACGGTGAGTATACAGTAATTTTGGTTACCTGTGGGAGAGGGTTTTTGACAAACCCAAGGCCAGTGTGCCAATGATTTGTGGTGTTGTGCAGTCTCCTGTGTGGTCTACGAGACTTGAGAGGTCAGTTGTATTAATTTCACGATGCGGCATGAGAGGGAAGCCTTTTTTCAACCCATCGACCAAGC